GATTTACTAATAAATTTTAAAAATTTCTTATTATGCAAACGAATTAAAGGTGAAGAAGATAACGCCTTTCCTCTTTCAGTTAGGACTCTTGATTTATCTGATGTATCACTCACTGTACTCTATATAGGGTCTTAGTACTAAGTATTATTCCATGTTTATTTTGTTTATTGGAAGGTCTGCTATGTTATAATAAACTTTTAAATTCTTCTTGACATTCTAATACCAACTTTTTATTAGACTGGTGCTCCATGTACTTACCATTTAAAAAAATATTGTTCGACGGAAGTTTCGCTGATTATTTAGACATCATCAGGATATGGTAATGAGTTTATCAATAAATATATGGGTCCTTTTCTGCTTGCATACAATTTGTTTCTAAATTGTTTTGATGTCATCCCTTCTTTTAGAATATACAATTTACAGGATAATATTGAATAACTTTAGATAGTTTCAAATATGTTTATTTCACAATATTTATTGATAAGATTCTCCTTTAAATTGCTTTCCATAAAAAGTAATTCATAAAGTTTATTCTCAAATGTTTCTAAAAACTAAATTACGGTGAAACCAAATTTGCACAAATGTCTATAAAATATGTGTTAACTTTCAATATTTTCACTATTTTTTCGTGTTTATTAAGATTTTTGTCAATACTTTATATATGTATGACGTATTTACAGTAATTTTGATTCAATTTTTCGAAATTTTGCTTATTGCTTATCGCTTGGTCCAACCATTTCCTACTGAAAGAAGAAAATGTAATTTCGGTGGAGATTTTTTAATTCTAAAATTGGGTAAACTTATTGAACGCTAAATAGGTACATTAAAGATTTTGGATTTAAAGGAACCCAATTTGGAATAATTTTAAATATCCACCTCATATTTTGATGTCTAAGTATATGAGAAATTAATTTATCTATTTATAGGAAAAAAACAGCTATTTAATTAATGCACATAATCACAGTATACACGAAAAAATATACAGGTGATGATGATTGTTCCCAGAAGTATAATGAACATTTATTCTATATTCGAAGAAGTATTTAAGTTTTTAACACAATATTTTTTCAACATAATATATTCAAAGCCTCGTTTTAAAAATAGTAGGCATTATTTTTTTCCAAATTACTTACATATTATTATTTGAATGTATTAATCATTAGTTTTTCAATTTTTTTTATTGTCATAAATTTTTAATAGTAGACAAGAACATTTTTAGTACTTTCATAGTTTATGTTTATTACATTTTACAGAAAATATGTAAAATTTACTTTGTTAGTCCTTAGTTGATTACCTAACAAAAGCAAGAATTAAAGAATTAAAATAGAATAGTACCACTGCAGCGTTATTATGGCCGATACACACAAATATCTAGGACACCTTTTAAACAACACGCCAAACATAAAAGGAATTCCTCGGTTTATAATGTTAAATATCTTCTTCTAGCTGAACTACAGACTGTTTGTAAAATGTATCACGAGAGAATTGCCAAACTCGAAGGGGATAAATATGATTTAGAAGTAATCGAACGTATCAAAGCCCAGGAGGTACAAATTATACACGATACACAGGCCTTGTTGCGTTTTTCTTTTTCTTTATTTTATTATTATTTTAGGTGGCACTTAAGGAATGGCATTTTAAAATTGGTAAACAGTGTCCAAACAATAATAACCAAATGTCGGATCATTCCAAACTAATCTTTTACTATTTGTATTGTGTTATTATTTCCCTTTATTATTACTAATCTATAAGGATTTGGAAAATATAAGTTAGAATGATAAGGCTACAATAAATAGGAATAAAGTTATTATTTTTTGGAACACTATAATGTTTTGACCTGCAATGTAAATATTTTGCCACAGCTGTTTGTATCTATGAAATCAATAGGTTTCGATCAATTTATCCTCAACAGTTGTACAGAGTTACTTATTTGAAATACTCAATAATTCTATAATAACAATAACTTAAATGAGAAGGGGAACGTAAACACGTCAAAATTCGGAAGGAGAAGGTTTTTCTTTCTCCTATCGAATTAAAGATGTACCACTAATAAAAAAATTAATAATGGTAGACATAGACAATTTTTATTATTATACAAAATAGAAAATAAAATATTTATAAATAATGTTCATTCCAACAAACATGACCTTGCTATTCTTACTATCTAAATAATGAAGCCAAAAATCAATCAAGTTTGCTACCGAAAAGCATACAATTCAGTGGCATACGATTGGTTTCAAGACTACATGAGTAACCAACTACTATAAAAGTGTGGATAAATACTCAAGAATCTTCCACGCCATTGGGAAGTGTATTCAATCCAACATCGGTAGAAACTATCGCAGACAAGCGATTATTCTCGTGTCCGATAGTTAAGCAGCCATCAAAGTGCTGAGCTCCTACGTAATCAGATTAAAAAAGCCTAGAGATGGCTAGAAAATTAAATTAGCCAGACGAGGCTACTCTCACTTGGGTATTAGAACACAACGGGGTAAAGAAGTATGTGATTACAGAAGTTAGTCTCGGAATGGATGTGTTTCAAAAACCCAGTGTGGGACTAGAGCAGTTTTGCGGTATCCAACAGTAGCACAATATTAGAACCACTCAAAATCCACTACACTAAGAAATGGAAGATAGGTTCTACAATAAGAGACTATTCCCTTACTGCCTTAGCGACAGAAGGGGACACAATAGATATTTTAGGACATCGCATACAAAACATCTGGATCTTATCACTTAATTAATTTTGAGAACTTCGATTATTTGTCATTTGAATGCAAGTAAATGGGAAATAATATATTCAATTTGTTCTCAAAAGGGTTGAGTCTGAATCTGAAATGCAAACAAGGGAAAAACCCGCCTATGACTCGAAAAATATCAACTATTTGTAAATAACCTTCCTATTTAATCATTTAAAATATAAGTACATAAAAGTTTCTATAAATTTCTCGATTTAGGTCTTTCTCTTCAACGAACTGTCGGAGCTCGAGCGTATATTTCGGCTGTCTCCGCAAAAATGATTTTTTTTGGTCCACCAACTCGTCCAACGAAAACTGGCACTCTTTCTTAATCGAGTTTGATTGTTTGTTTGTCAGGACAGGACTATAATCACTCTTTATTTAGTCCACAAACTCGTCACTATTCTAAAGAAATCCTCCTGAATTATTCTAGATACATCTTTGAAGGTAACCTCTCTAAATGGAGTTACCTGAAATAGACAAATAGACAAAAGTATTTTGATATTAGAGTGTAAGACAATAGGACGTAGGCTAACTATTGAGGCCAATATTGACACAAAAAGGACGATATTCTGATCTTACAGAGTTTAAGACAATAGGACGTAGGCTCACTATTGAGACCAATAGGCTGCTTTGACATGAAACCTTCAGGAAGAAGCCTTTGATTCCAGCTCTGGCATACGTAAGTAACGTTAGAGCAAATTCTCAGGTGGGACTTTTCTGATTAAATATATCTGCACAAATTAACAGATAAAGGGTCATAGTGTACATCCTAGGACTGAATGTAAAACATACTCACCGTCAGTGCTCAGAAATAATCTATAAAATTGTAAAAATGTTTGACCGAACTATTCTTTATATAGGATTTAAATCATTGTCAACTGTCCAAATAGATATCTATTTAATTGGCAAAGAAACAATTGAAATACACGTTTAATGAAATCCAAGTTATTCATTTTAACAAAAGGAACTCATCATATCATTGCCTTAAAATATATTTAAAATTCGAAGGCGAAGGAACCGTCAGTTAATTCTTCGATTTTATGTCGGTACATTGGAACTACTGGTCTCTGTCTAAGTCGGTATTTTGTTCATCTTAAAGGTAACTATACTGATTCGTAGTTTCATACCAACGACCCTCTCTTTGACTGAGCATTGCCTTTAGAAATAATTTATTTTATTTTGTAAAATTGGACAAGTACCCCCTAACGATTATTTTAGAATATAACCCATTATTTTATCCACGTCGTTCGTGCCAAAACATCTTCCATTACTGCTTCAACATCATTAGAGAACGAACCTATTTTTCTCTGCCCTTGTGTTTTTGGGCGATTGTACAGTTTATTCATGTATAAACTATGTTAATGACAATAATATATTAAAGTTAAAAAAGGGAGTTTTTGAGGAGATAGCCGAAATACGCAAATTTTCAACTAGCGCTTGAGCCCAAACGGTTTGTCGAAGAAAAACTAAATAAAGAATTTTTGTAGAATATTTTATGTACCTACTTTCATTTTGAATACAGAAATATGGAGGTTATTTACGAAAGGTTTAAAATTTCAGAGTTAAAACCAAACACCACTAAATAATTAAATTTTATACAATTTTTGCACTATTTTTTTTAATGTAATCAAACTGTAGATTCAGATTCAACATTACAAAAAAAATTTAGAATGGAAAAAATCAAAACTGCCTCATTACTTTCCTAGTAAAAATACAATTTGATTCAATTAAAATTAATGATGTATTGATTTAAATATAATAATATAGATGCGTTTAATTTTACTAGAAACAATTTCTAAAATGTTTGTTCGCTTTTTGGAATTAAACAATAACCAATATTTCACAAAAAAACATACATAGAGTATGTAACTTGTAGCAATTAACTGTAAATATAGCCATGAGTGCAAAAAGGACGGGCGTTTTGTATTTAGGTACAAAGAAAGAGGAGGAGGTGAAATTCAAAGTACAGTTTCATATCGATAAAGAAAAATGAATACAAAAAATGTTTGTTGGAAAGAAACTATTATAGCAAAGAAACCATTTAAATTATTTGTTTGAAGTTTAACGTATTATTGGCATTACGAGTAACTTAAATCTAATAGTTCATTTGGTAATCCAAAATTTGAGCAAAAAACGATTTATTTGGGACATTAGTTGAATATTGAGTATTTCCAAAAAGAAACATTTGTTAAGGTATCGGGGCATTAACGAGTAGTACCTAATAATTTGCTGACTGCTGGTTCCGTTTCCGATTTCTAGGGACACTTAAGAAGATTTGCAAAGACTATTATGAGCGCATGTATATATGTGAGGAGCAGAAGTGGGATTTGGAACGTGAAGTTCGAAAACGGGACTGGGAGGTATCTTGACATTCACACTGTCATATAAATCCACTTGTTTTGTGCTTCATATCATACATTATATACATATGAATTAAAAATACAGATTGACGATTCACCAGGGAATACCGAAATCATTTTTATGTCAGCTAAGTTTTGCATGTATCTGTAAAGGAAGAAAATCTAAGATCTAGAGTTGATTTTCTGTATTTTAAAAGTGATATAAATGATCAATGATTTTGAAGGTACAAAAGTGAATACTATTTTAAATTTCCTTGCAGTGATTTATATGTAAAAATTAGCAATAATGATTCAAAACAGTAAAGCTACAAAACTCTTATCTAATATTTTATAATGCGTCCTTGAATGAAAATCGAAGTGCTTTAGAGTTCCAGGTAGTTCCAGTATTGCAACAGAATTTAGAGTTGTATAGTACCAATCTCTAAATTCCCATACTTTGATTTTCGTTTTAGGACCGTATTCTCTGTTTACTTAATTTAAGAAAATTTAATGAGTCCTAAAGCATTTTCATATAATATGACTTGTGTTCAATTTTAAATAAATTAGTACATAAAAACGGGTAACTTGGGTGAATTGTCAAGGCCACATAAACATATACATAAAACAAACAGTTATGTTGTGTATACTAAATATTACTTAATAAATAGTAAGTACATGAAGTGTTAAGCCGTAGTGTCCCTGTCCTGACCCATATGTGCTCTCCGCAGCCAGAAATCAGCGAAAAAGCAACATAATCTGCCTCTCAATGTTTGACATGTGTTTTTTTGACCAAATTTGCCAATAAATTAATTATTAAGTCAATTTATAATTTTTTTAGCAATCGGTATGTAATAAGTAATAATATATTTCCCTAACAACGTCAAATCTTTGGAGGTAGAGTACATTACATTTTATATTTTTCGCAAAAGCCAAATTTTAGAATTTTTTTTAAGCTTGCTTGGAAACAATGGTCCTTCTTTTCCATAGCTTTGCCTGCTTGCAATAATTTGCTTATAAATGGTTTTTATCAGCAATTTCGATTTCGTTCATTTATTATATTATAAAATTAAACAAAATTAATTAAAAAAAAAAACGCCATTTTACTACGTACAAGTTATTGTTTTGTTCTTTTTATTTTGTACCTAGTTATACTGAGCTGGTTTCGGCTTATGAGCTTATATAGGGTAGGGTGTTTCAAAAATACCTAAGTACATGAATAATTTTAACCAGTAACAGAACTGGGAAAGAGCAATAACTTTTTAAATACTTTTATTAAACCTTATTTATAGAATTAAAATTGTTAAAAGATATAACATATTTTCGTGACCACGTCATTTCTTGATAGAAGCCAGTTGAAACAAAATTGTTAATATTGTTTTCTTTTGGTGCCATTTGAGGAAAACATGGAAAAACCTCACCCACCATAATCATCACTGGTTTGTCGTATCAACAAAAATTACTTTACTATTAATACGCCACCCATCAAAACAAAAAATACATGTGGTTTTCTGTGGGAAACGCTTTACCACTCGAAGCTTGGGACACAGTTCTGATTTAACCTAAAATTATTCTAAACTTAACGCATTTTTGATAAATACATACAACAAAAATAATAAATGTTTCAGCCATTTTTTATAAATATAGGGCTTAGAAAAACATATTGAAAAGAGTTATTGTCATTTACTAGTTCTGTTACGTGTTGAAATAATTTACATAGGTACTTATTTTTGCGAATAAGAAATGAACATCGAATATATTTTTAACGCTCCCTTTACTTGGTCCGGAACCAGTTTTATTATCCAAAATACTATTGGGGATAATAGAGATCCAGTACAACTTTTTTTTAAAGACATTATATTTTTTAAACATACAAATAAACTAAATATTCAGTATTATTGTGTAAAATATCTGTTAAATATTTAAAGTAAATGAAATATTTAATTTTTTATAAACTAAAAAGAACTGAACATGGCTAAACAACTTTAGTAAAATGGTAAAAAAAGCGGAAATTGTTTTTAAGATTTTAGAAAGATAACATATACTTTTTAGAAATGCGTTAGTAACAAAAATTAGATTTTAATTTTCAAAAACTTATTTCTAAACACAAAAATATTTGTTCCGCTTTATAAAGGGATATTTTTCAAACAAAATGTTATTTTAAAATTTAAATTACATTTGTTCTTTATGAAAAATTTTAAATTAGTTTATTGTTGCTTAAAAAATATCTCTTGTTGTAAATAACAATACTAACTCTAAATAGGGAGTGGGAAAGTTTAACTGGAACACATTTCTGTAACCTAATAAATAAAGGTTTCCGAAAAATTCTTGGAACATGTCAATTTTTATTTTCAGTGTAGCATATTAGAAAGAGGTCTGTTTATTTTTTTAATTATCGGGTGGATGAGGTTCTTCAATTACAAATACAATTACATATTTTTTTGTTATTTTTTATAAGCAATATGTCGGAAAAAATAAATCAAGGAAGTGCCCCTCACCTTGTTGCTGACAATAGCCTAATTTCATATCTGATTTTTTATTTAATCTCGGCGATGTCGTTAGGTTTAGTAGCATAAACCTTGTTTTTTAGACATCACCATAAAAAAATCTGATGGGGTAAGATCAGGTGATATTGCTGGCTACTCAATTGGGTTACTTCTTCCAATCCACTTATTCGGAAACACTTCGTTGAGCAAAATGTGGTGGTGAAAACCAGTGGCGTAGCTAGGAAATTTTTCATGGGAGGGGTTTCTGAGGACTATGGGGGTTTCATCAACAAAGTGAAACATTTCGAATAAGATTGTTTTTATTAAAAAAAAAGTAATTAAAAATATCAATATCAAAAAATGTATACATTAAAGTAGTTTCAGTAAACATTTCCTTATTTTATTTTTTTCCGACACATTGTTTATAAAAAGTAACAAAAAAATACATAACTGTATTTGGAATTAAAAAAATAAATAATCAATTAAAGTTGTGGGTTGTTGCAACCCCCCATAAACAATCAACTAACCTCTTTGAAAATAAAAATGTTTCAGGAATTTTACGACAAACATTTATTTTTACAGATTTTGTTTCAGTTAAAATTTCCACTCTGTATAGTCCGGTAAATAATACTTAGAATGTAGAAAGCACTAAAACAGGCATTAACGCTTCTACCCCGGCAAATTGACCCTGGGATACGGCATGGCCCTTCATGCTTCCTCCTTTTTAATTTTTTTTTATCAAATACCCACCATGTTGATTTTTTTATTTTTTTTTTATTTTTTAATTTTTTTTTTAATCATTCCAAATCACCAAAAGTACCGGATACAGATTCAAGGAAAACGGAACCTGTCAGATCAGAAGTGCCATGCTCTATCCTACTCTTCCTTCAGTAAAATGCGACGTGTTTACCAAGAACTCTCTTTTTAACATTAAAGATATTTTAGGTCTGTATGGAGGGTTTTGAATTTTTATAGTTGATTTTATTTTCAATCTATAACCAACAAAAAGATAGAACTATTGATAAGATTTTTTAATGCATTAAGATGTGTATTCCTCTGATTATTTTAAACGAAGCCAGATATCGCTGATGCCTTATGTAAGAACGGTATTTACGTGTGTAAATTCATATTCGACTTAATTGATTTGTTGAAAATAAAATCTAGAAACAGAATGATTTTTAATTTTAAATCTAAAATTTTTGACCTAACAACTTTGCTCTTCAGGTACACATTGTATTTTAATTTTTGGAGATACCTCTTTAAAAAACAAACAAATTTCAAAATGGCAAATCCATTTTAATATTTTTGCATAAATGCCAAAAATAATAATTCATGGCATTCTGGGATGTACATATCAATGTTTGCCGCACAAAAGTCAAATGTGATAGTACAGTGTCATGTTATTAATAATAATAATAATAATAATAATAATAATAATAATAATATTAATAATAATAATACTCTCCCTAATTCACCCCCTTACGAGTGAATTTCAACCCCTGAAGTCGACTGAACGACTTGTGTAGGGGAAGGGACGGATATTATTATTATTTGCCGTGGCGCTCCGGGGCGACTTAAAGATGATTGATGGTGCCATTTGACTTACAGGTGAGGAAAACCCGGAAAACCTCACCCACCATCATATATTAAAACATCAAACTAAAAAAATATATTAGATTTTTAGGATATTTAGTATGAAAGAAGAATTTTAAGTCTACTAGGCTGTTGCAAACGATTTGTAGTTATTTATAAGTTAAATGTTTTGAAGATGAATGTTTCGGTGTTCCATTAATATAATTGTGATAAAACAAGAACACATAAGAAAGTATGTAGAATATTTAATCCTGTGCGTCATATTTTTCAGTCTACAGTGAGTAGAGTAGAACAAAAATTACGCCAGTATATATTGGTCGACGCGGTGAAATTGAATGGTCTGTCCAATTTCCTGAAATAACTACAATGTATTATTTATCCTGACTATAGCAAAATTGTTTTAAAGAATAATTGGAGTTGGTGAAAAAATAAGAACGCATAAGAAAGTATGTAGAATATTTAATCCTAACCTTCATATTTCTCAGTCTACAGTTAGTAGAATGGTAAAAAAATATTGATTGGTTGGCGCGGTAAAATAGAATGACATGTTCTTTTGACATAGCCCCATTGTACAATTTTTTATGGCGTTATCTAAAATCAAAGATTTATTTCAGCAGATCAACTAATATAGATAATTTAAAAGGCGAATAAGACATTAATCAAATCTTCCCAAAAATGAATATCTCCCAGCTTCATTTCCAAATTATTTTCATTTAAATTTATTAAAATGGATTTAGCTTTAAAAAAATTCGTGTATAGAAAATATCCTAAAGTTAAAATCCACTAGATTGCTGAATAAAGAATTACAAATCATTTAAAAAGCGGTGTCACATGTCCCCTCTTTTAATTTAAAATTGGAGAACGAGCCTGAACGGCGCTTGGCCCGAATTAGCACATCAAACTGCCATCTAGGAATCTCGGCAGTGAATGTCGTGAACAGAGATG